TGCCTCCGCATCGTCCACTATGGACATGTCTATGGGCTCCTCCACCTCCACCTCTATGTCCATGCCCATGTCCACCTCTTCCTCCTCTTCTTCTTCTATGTCTATGTCAATGTCAATGGTCTTCATGAACGCCCACGACACCCCCCTCTTCTCCAACCAATGGACCCCCTCGTCCAGCGGTACCTATGCCGGTACCTGCATCTTCCTCATCGTCCTCGCCATCATCTCCCGCTGTCTGGCCGCCTTCAAAGCCCTTATGGAACGCCGCTGGCTTGACGCCCACGTCAACCGTCGCTACATCGCCGTCGCAGGGAAATCCACCGAAGCGGGTCGCATTGACTCGGATCCTGAATCCAAAGAAGCCAGTCTCATCACAGCCCAAGGTGTCGAGGAGAAAGTCAAGGTCATCCGCAAAGCGGCACGCGAACCACTCCCTTGGCGCTTCAGTACGGATCTTCCTCGCGCGCTGCTCTTTCTTGTCATCACGGGTGTCTCTTACCTACTGTATGTTCCCATACCCTCTACATCTAATAGATAGAAGAAAACCACATACTAATACAATTCAAACGCAGGATGTTGGCCGTCATGACCATGAACATCGGATACTTCTGCTCTGTCCTCGCCGGTGCCTTCCTGGGCGAGCTTGCCGTGGGACGCTTCATTCAGTGGAACGAGCATGAACATTAGTCCTACCCACATACATATCCCATTTCGGGTTACTCGAACATAACGACTTCGATTCTAATGCACGGTGTTTTCGGTTCGGGTGTTGGGTCTGGCGTTGCATTGCATTGCATTCATTTCATATTACTGGGATAGCGAGCGTGTGACATGTGCACTGTTGGCTTTTTTTGGGTTTTTGTCAGATACCACATTCCGCTTATTGGTTTTTTTTTTTTTTTTTTGATCTCTGCTCTGTCTCTTTTTGGCCCTTCCATTGGTGATACCATTACAGTCGAAGGGGGGTGTGATTAGCTTAGACTCCAGTACATAGAGATAATGTCGTGGGAGTGTTTTGGACAGTGTCGGCATAATGGGACATGAGTTTGGTCGAAAAGTATTACATGGGCTATTGCATAGATAGATCCTGGTAGGCTTTGCAAGTTATAGTGTACACTATTGGCAGGTGGCGTGATCGGCTGTAGGTTGTCCCACTCCTATTGGTGCGGACGGGAACCACACGGACGGCGCGGACAGGGATCCATGCCACTAACCGCGAATGGCAATTGATACGCTGCGATGTCTTTCAGATTCAACTTGTTGATGTTATTTATGTTGGATATCCATCCGTAAAGATACCGACTACTTACTTTGTATCGACAATTTGTAGAGATACGCAGGCCGCAAACCATTGGCCCCCTTCCAAAACCCCCCATTAGATCACACTACGAATCCATCATTCAGTTGCAATCTCAAAAGCACTGGTCGGCCGTGCATTCAATCCCGCCTGAATGTACGTCTCGTCGATCGCCTCCATCTGCGCAATGCTCTCCTCACCGTCGATCCACACCCCGGAGCCCGCACGACCCTTGATTCGGTTCACAAACTCTTCTAGCTGACAGCGCCAGGTCGTCCACCATTCCTGATAGGTCTGCGCTCGCACATCGCCCGCTGGCCAGTTGTATGCTTTGAGATGCTCCATCACATCCCACGTCTTCACAATCTCTTCCCCTCGGCGGATAGTATGCTTATCGCAGATATCGATCCGGTGATAGACTGTCGGAATGAGGTGATTCCACAACGTCACTTTCCGTTGGACAAAGTGGCGCTCTTCATTGCCCTGGCCACTAAGTAGTATCTCTCCTGATCTTGCCTCAGTCATGGGCCATTTGAACGATGGCAGGGAATGAGACCATGACGCCGGAAGAATCGAAGGTCCTCCCCCATATAACAAATCACCCCTAATTTCTGCGGTCTTGTCACTGTCCGTAGCGTAGGTAGCTTTTATTGCCACGTCAATTTGTGGCTCCACCTGAGATCCATCTGATGCAACAGGCAAGGGGCGATGCATTGCTTCAATGGGATTGAGATGCTCCCCCCTACCCAGGACCTGCCGCACGCAGGAGAGAGGATACGTTGCTAGGTCCATGAGACAGCCGCCTGACAAGCCATATTTAAAGCGGATGTCATCCTTATTCAGATACCCTTTGGGAAGATACTGCTGGGAATAGACATGGTCTACAGTCGCGCCCCAGGGAAGGTGATTAACATGGTAGAGAAAAGCCTGCCAGGCTGGGTGAAACTGATAGTGAAAAGCCTCAAGGAGCACTGGGGCATTCGGTCCAGTCACCAGTGGGTGTCGGAAGAGTTTCCGTGCCTCCTCGGCATTCGAGCAGGACGGCTTCTCAAGAAGGACATGCTTTCCTGCTTGAATGGAACGCAGGGCCCACTCGTAGTGTAGAGAATTCGGCAGAGCTATATAGACTGCGTCGATGGCTGGATCGTCCAGAAGGTCTGACACGTGCATTTAGACTCTCCATGCTCCGTTAAGGTCAAGCCAGTTGTGGAGAAGCTCACCTTGATAGGTGTTATGGACAATCGGAATGCTGTGCTTCTTGGCGTACTGACGGGCACGCTCGCGATCTCGAGCAGCGACCGCTGCCACGATGACTTCCGGGTGCGACTTGGCGGGGGTAATCACGGCTAGGGGGCTAGAGCAGACATAAATTAAACGGTCTGCATGTCGGTGCTTCATCCACTTACGCTATGGTGGATGCTCCAAGCAGTCCTATTCTGATGGCGTCATCCCTCTTCGTCGGGGTCGGCGGGCTAACTGCCGCATAGTAGGCTCTCTTCACGAAATCGAAGAATAACATAATGAGTGATGGCTGGGTAAATTTTGAATTTCAATTAAGTTACTGTAAGACTGTTTGATATGCCAGTGTGGCAATGGCACGTAAAGGTAGCACGGACAACTCTTTGTTGTCTGAGGCGGGCGCTTCCCGCCATCAGTCGTTCTAGACTGCATTGCCAGACAGCAGGTGACTTCCGGATTTGATGTCGTCCGTCTAATTCTCTGTCTCACTTAATTACTTGGGAAGGCTGCTGCTGGCGCTCCTTCCAGTTCTCACAGTATCAACATAGAGCTTTCCTAGAGTGGAGAGTGCATAGCACCTATCTAGGAAATTAATGTCGCTCAGTTATCGAGTGCAACGGCATTTTTCATGTCAGCACCGCCAGATTATCATGATCTCGAATCACGCAATGCTCTCTCTAAGTACAGAGTCGACACGGCCAAATTTCCACAAAATGACTGTTGGGCAGATGAATTATCGAGAACTGACTCGGTGGCGGAACTGAGATGTGCCTACTCCGTAGAAATGGTGAGCCGGGTACCATTCCGTTCCTTGGCTATTTAGCGCTATCAAACTGACACCGAAACTACTAGTAAGTAGACATCGTATAACCACATTGCTTCAGAGCATAGTCCTCCATGTCTTATATCCGAGGGCATAGACATGGGCTCAGACACAATGGGCTGGCTTGGCAATCCCCCACATGGGCGGACTTGAACCGGGGAACTTCACCGGATTTGCCAGTCTTGAGAAGAAATGAGCACATTTCCTAACCCAATCAGCCCTAGTGCTGCCAGGGCTCACTGCAGGGTCCCTTGAGCTCCAGCTGCTTAGTGGCACAGAACAACATCCGAGATACATGTTAGTGACTAGTATCAGATCCATCGGCTTTGGTCTCTTCTGCGGGAATAGTGCTCGCTCATCCTGTAATTTACCTCGCTTAACCCTGTACAATCCCGGCCCTGCCGTAGATTTTTACTATAACCAGCTCTTACCCGCTCGGAAGCAAGTCTTGCATGAGTATAAAACCATCGAGGGTTCCTGTGTAGCATCTATCCCACGGCACTTTCGCTCTTCAGATCGCCCCGATTCCTCAATCTTCACCACCATGAAGCTCCCTATCCTCTACCTCGCATCTCTTGCGCCCTTGGTCGCCGCCCACTTCGAGCTCAAGTACCCTACCAGCCGTGATGGATCTGAAGAGGAGATGACCCAATTCCCCTGCGGTGGAGCTGCCCAGTCCAGCAACCGTACACAGGTGTCTATCTCCGCCGGTTCTTTCCCAGTCGCATTGTCCATGGGCCATTCCCAGACTGCTGTCGAGGTCCTCCTGGCACTGGGTTCCGATCCCGGAACCAACTACAACATTACCCTTCATCAGACCTTTGAAATCCAGGGATTGGGTGCTTTCTGCCTTCCGCACATCAAGTTCGACGAATCCATCCTCGGCACCAACATCACCGACGGAATGAACGCAACCGTGCAGGTCCAGAGTAATGGTGACCCCACCGGAGGCCTCTACGCTGTATGTTGCCCTGTCGATTACTCGGTGTGAGAAGATGCTAACTTCGCCCAGTGCGCCGACATCCAGTTCTCCTCGACCGTCGATTACGAAGAACCGTCCTCCTGCTCGAACAACACCGGTGTGACTGCTGTGGCCTTCACTGGAGCTGCAGCAGAGCGCAACGCCAATGAATCCACTGCCTCTGGAGAAGCGCAGAGCAGCTCCTCTTCTAGCACTTCTTCGGGCAGTTCAACCGCTGCGACCTCCACTGGTGGTGCTGTTGCTTTGGAGACTGCTGCGTGGGGTATGCTGGGCGCTGCAGTTGTTGGTGGAATGGCTCTGTTGTAAGAGATAGGGCCAAATACCACAACCGTCTATGTTGTATTATGCAACCTGGTACACCGGGAGATGAACTGGGCTCGAACCTACCTTGCCTTCTCATGTTTATTCTTCTAGCGTTGAGGGTCTACGAGAATAACATCATATTCGGGCTTCTGGATTGTCCCTCACCGACAATTCCATTGCCTCGATTACATCTTGTCGCCGTATTACTCCCATGTGCGCAAGATTATCCAATTCATGTACCAAATTATGGAGCCATATATTGTGATCACTAGTGTGTCCGAACTCCGAACGCACATCTTGGATATACATTCTCGGGTTCCCAAGCTCAACTTGTCGAGGTGAAAGTGCAGCATACGTTTTATGATTTATGAAATACCCATTGTAACTAGCGAGAGCCAATAATCAAAGCGAAATTACTCAAATCACTGGAAATAAATCTCAAAATAGTTGTATTCTGGCATTGTATCGTCTTGTTATTTACCATGTGTATATTCAATACCTGGTGTCATACCGTCGCAAAGTAATCCAAGCAAATTCCATGCCGGATACAACCAATACGGATCACGAGCCAAGCTCTTGAACAGGTTCCTTTACTATATTGTGCTTCTCTTCGAGGAAGACAGCTCGCCTTGGCTTACTCTGGAAAAGTGTTTGGCTTGATATTACTCCGGGATAGTTGAGTACCAGCATAAGCATAACGCTCTTGCATTTCAGTCCCGGTTATGGCACATGATACTAGGATTGATTTCATATACAGCCAGCACTTTTCTGATGAATATTCCACAGGATGTTCTTTCCCTTGACATCAAGCCACTTTTGGTTTACACTTTGCCAATTTGACTATGACCTCACTTCATGAGGGCCCAAAGGAGTGCGTAGAGAGGGTTATGAAATATTTAATTGAAACTTCATAGTAGCATACTATTAGTAGCTGTTGGAGTCCATGGTTGCAGTAACTGTTACCCTTGGATGATTACACCTTTGAACCACGAAGACCTCAGAAAACCCAGTTGGTTGATATTTATGTTATAATATCCTGAGAAAATATAACCTGTGAACAAGCACTGTTGAAGTCATCAATCGTTTGTACCTAGTAATCAAACGAAAAGTAGATGACCATCTCATTGTCTCTTTTCATCGTAGTATATAAATTTATACTACTAGGTTTATTTATGGGAGACCAGCTAGTACTACTAGACAGTTTTTCAAGCCAACATCTATCCCTTGAGCAACCTACATAATACAAACCCCAAAATAGTGGTAAAATCGTGTCTATTGAACCCGACAAATCTATCCAATAGTAGATAGTAGTCAGTAAGCTGTTCGTCATACTGGACAATCCATCACTGATAAGGAGCCAATCTCCGAAGGCGGTAGGCCAACATCCTCGGCAGAATCGCGGGGAGAGGCCGTCCGCTCGGCATAATCCATGGCTCTCTCCCACTGTTTCCATCCTTTAAACACTATCCTTTGTGTACGGTGTCTCATCTAACCCAAGGGAGATAACTTCAAAATGGCTACACGCGCCCCCTTTATTGTTCCGGCGCTGAAGAAGCACACCGCGACGGTGATCATGGCCCACGGCTTGGGCGACAGGTTGGTTTCCTGCATACCGCGGTCTGAAATATTTACAACTGGCTAACGTTATCCTGTAAACAGTGGTGCTGGATGGTACGTATACCGAAACTATCATATCCTATGGCCGGCGACGACGACTGTTCCTACCGAAACCTGAAATAACTGACGACAATAGGATGGCTCTCGCCCAGAACTGGCGCCGCCGCGGCATGTTCGACGAAGTGGCCTTCATCTTCCCGAATGCCCCTATGATCCCTATCACAGTGGTATGCGATGACCGTCACTTACGGAGATCTGGGAGATTGGGACTAACTTGACGGGTATAGAACTTCGGAATGTCCATGCCGGGATGGTACGACATCTCCAAGCTGGGTCGTGACGTGAGTGGTGCAGCTAGATCTATATTCCGGGGTAAGAGGACTAATGGCTGTATAGTTGGATTTCGAAGAAGCCATCCGCCACCAAGACGAGCCGGGTGTCCTCCGTTCCCGCGAGTACTTCAACACTCTCATCAAGGAGCAGATCGACCAAGGTATCAAGCCCTCCCGGATTGTCCTCGGAGGCTTCTCGCAAGGTGGAGCGATGTCCTTGTTTGCGGGTCTCACGAGCACGGAGAAGCTGGGTGGTGTCTTTGGTCTTTCTTGCTACCTGTTGCTTCATGACCGCATTAAGAACTTCATCCCCCGGGACTGGCCGAACAAGCAGACGCCCTTCTTTATCGCACACGGTGAGGAGGACGAGGTGGTGAAGTTCGATTTCGGTAAGCAGTCGGCGAAGATGGTTCAGGAGTTGGGTGTCGAGGATGTCGAGTTCCATTCTTACTCGTGAGTGTTCTATTAACTTTCGCTTCCCCCTGAAATGGCTTACTTATCTGTGGGTAGTGATCTCGGCCACTCTGCCGATCCCGAGGAGATCGAAGATTTGACGAAGTTCCTTCAGAAGGCTATTCCTCCGGAGGAGGGTCAGTCGGCCGCCGGATTATGACTTGGTGACCACAGCTCTGTTCCTGCTGCACCCTCTATATGTGCTAGAATCATATACAGCATTTTCCTAGGCATCGTTGTATGGAGAATTGCGGTTATGCTGTTGGGGATCATCTCGGGAAAGAAAGGGGATGCGCCGATAAAGCAGGATTGAACATACAATTGCCTGAATAAATAATAGACCAAGATGCATGAAATGACGAAATCTAGTAACAATCTATTCATCGCTCGTAATCGAATATTCAAACCCCATCTATTCTCCCCTCAAAGCCTTCTGGACCGCAGCCTCAATAACAGCGACCATGGCCTCGGTGTTCTTCACATCAAACGGCACCATATGCTTCGACCCGTGATCATGGAAACTCATCTTGCTCGGATCACACAGCCTGGACAAACGCATACTAGACGGATATAGCTCATCCTGCTTTCCCACAATGTTTGCCGTGGGGATATTGACCGGATACTCGTCCCCAGCTGAAGGCTCAGGAATGATCTCGTTGCCAGTGCTATCGAACGGTACGGCACCGCAGATAAATACGGCGACCTTGAACAGAGGCTCCTGATGCATCTTTGCATGATGTGCGATCATGGCGCATGCCAGGGCAGCACCTTGCGAGAATCCCATAACGGCGTCAAAGGGTCCATCACGCTCGATGATATCGTAGACGTGCTTCATGGCGGGGGCGAGATATTCGCCCGGTGCCCGGTCGCGCGGATAGTGGTTATAGAAAGGGCCAGTAAAGAGGCCCTTTAGCTCTATTCAATATGTTAGCCATCACATGTCTCCGAATCTTCTGGTGTGGAGGGTGGGGGTGATGTACGAGGCTCAACTTCAGCTTCCATGCAGCCATTGTAGTATTTGAACGTATGGCCATACTTTGCGAGGTCGTATGTAATTCCACCTGGTTGCGGTACAAGTCAGATTGACAATCTTGGCCTGGCGGATTGGACTGTTGTTCAATTACCGGATTGGATCTCGAAGATCTAATGTTTGTTCAACGGTTAGATTTGGATGGCGGGGAAGCGGAGATAAGCCAGAGAGCCCGCCAGCAGGGGAGATGCTTGCTTACTTCTGCGTTGGTACCTGCGCCGTGGAGACAAAGGAATCGCATTTTGGATGGTTGATGAGTGAAGGTGTCCTTTCTGTGTCACTTCCTCTTTGAATGGATATGATCCTGGGAGACAATGGCTGACCAGGGAAGATGATGAGGAAATGTGTTGAATACTAAACTAGACTACGCCCCTCCGACCGTCAGCTGAAGCATTGGCCTGCCACTAACGTAAGACTCAAAACTCTCAGCCTTCTCCATCTACTCCATTCCTCATCTGTCTTTACACTTCTTCAGTCGTCGTCCTGTCCGGCCCAGGCTATGCATCCTTCTCGGCTATTTACAGGACCATTTCTTGTCCTACCCCCCTACATGCAACATGTGAGATGTCACGATTCACGGAGTTTCCATTCAACGAAATGATCTCCGGCACCGAGGGCGGCGCCCGTGCCCCCTTCGAGACCGGTCGTCCTATCTTCTCCCCACTGCGACTTTAGTGGTTCTGCGCATCTGCAGTCTACGTGGACTTGATCGCACTTACTGCTATTCATATTCAATGGCATCTATTGTCAATTTCATCTCGAATGTGCTCCTCCGCCCTGTGGAGTCCTACTGCAGCTTCGGTCCGACGGTGAGTGAAATCACCTTTGGACAGCTGGGGTACTCCTTCAATCCCGAACGCGACATCAATGATCTGTCAGGGAAGGTTGTCTTCGTCACTGGAGGTATGTCATCTCTATACCTTGGGCTGTCTATCTCAGTGCGCTAACTTCTCCGCTTGTTTCGTAGGAAATGCCGGTCTAGGAAAAGAAACCATCCTCCAACTCGCCCATCACCGCCCATCTCGCATCTACCTTGGTGCACGGAATGCGATCAAAGCCGAAGATGCCATCGCTTCAATCCGGGAGCAGGTTCCATCCGCCGATATCAGACACATATCCCTCGACCTGTCCTCATTCAAGTCGATCCGTGCCGCTGCCGAGCAGTTCACGTCAGAATGCGATCGCCTGGACCTCTTGATCCTTAACGCGGGAATCATGAACTGCCCGCCTGCCCTGACAGAGGAAGGATTCGAGATACAATTCGGGACGAATCATATCGGGCATTTCCTACTTACCCAGCTACTACTACCCACACTGCAACGAACGGTTGATCTTTCCAGGGATGTTCGTGTAGTAACGTTGTCCTCTGCCGCGAATGTCGCCGCGCCTCCCTTCGAAGTCATGACTTCTACGCCGGCTTTACTAGCGGATCACACATTGGCCCGATACTGTTCATCAAAGGCAGCGAATATCCTTTTTGCGTCGGAGCTGGCTCGTCGCCATCCGGAGATTCTGTCTGTCGCGGTACATCCCGGCTCCGTCGTGAGCGACCTATGGGATCATTCGATCAAGACGAGTGTCGTCGCCAAATACAGTATCGGCGCTCTTCTGGCGTTCAGTCGGGGCATACGGAGCGGAGCACTCAACCAACTCTGGGCCGCAGGGGCGAGAAGAGAATTGCTGACCAACGGAGCTTATTATGTTCCCATTGGGGTACACGCTACGGGCAACCGGTACGCAAGGGACGCCGATATGGCACGGCGACTGTGGGAGTGGACTGAGCAGCAGATTGCGGACAAATCGTAACCTTATCCGGTTCCAATGATGTTTTGGTCTTCCCCCACCTCAGCCCCTGTATCTAGAGATCGACGAATTAGCCCAGGATATGCGTGGCTATGTCTTGGAAACAACACTGTGACTGTCATAATAAAGCAAATAATCGAAACCTATGGAATAACATGATGCGATACTGGACGTTGCTTCAGGGTCCGGATCGCGGGGTTGATGACGGGTAAACTCGCAGATTACCGGATTCGGTATGAGATGCCGGAAAGCGGGTGGTGAGCGTCAATCCCGGCGAGACTCATTGGCGGCCACAAACTGTCCCAAGGTGCCAAACAACCTCTCAAGAAAAAGGGACCAACCTACTCCCCATAGAAAAAAATATTCCTAGTTCAACGTCCCAGCCACTTTCACTATCCCTCTATGACATTTTGAAAGTTGCCGATCTCCCTCCATGGACGCCAGTCTAGAAAGTCAGCAGCGGCAGCGATCGTTAGGGTTTAGCCGAGGAGCCTCCCTGTCCAGATTCCTCGTTTCGCCCACAACCAACTTCACCCAGCAGGTCCACGAAGCGCCTTTCCAATGAAAATTGTAATCCCATAGCCAGAAAGCACATATTATAACCATAGTATATAGAACAATAATCTAATTACTACTGAGCGAGCTACACTGTGTAGAAAATAATATTAATGTCGTAGAAGTACTGAGAACGCAAAGTCGGCTTTGCATGCTCTGCTCCCCACACAAACCCGTCCGAAGCGCATCATCGAACTTGACTATCCTCATCCTCATCCTCCCACTTCACCTCCCTCCTCTTTCTCTCTCCAGCACCAAATCTCTCCCCCATCATCTCCTTTAGGTACGTATTATACCCCGTTATTCCTACCTCTAGAACCCGTTTTCCCTTGGAACATTTCGGAATCTTTTTATCTGTCGCCCATCGACGAGTCATCCGCGAAACTCTGTCCCGAATTTATTCGTTCCAATTTCAATTCGATCCGGTCGCGCGAATTCGACGCTCAACGCTCCGCTTCCTCCGTTTACGCGAGAATGACACAGCACAATTTCCACAATACACTCAAAATTTTACGAGGACAGACATCTGACCGTCTTTGGATTTTTTTCACAGGTTGAAAGCACTCAAGCTTCAATACTCCCGTCAAAATGGATCAGGCAAAGTTGGCTAGAATGCAGCAGAGCGTGCGGATTGGTATGTACCTCTATATTCTTTTCGTGTTTTCTTGTTAAGCTCTCTTGTGTTATTGCTATTGCTCCGTTCGCATCCGATTTATAATCAATACCCATGGGAGCGAGATTGGTGGGGGTGAGCGAGGGAAGCTATCCGGTGGTATTATGGGATCGATCTCGATCCGATTCTGCAAGGAACGAAAGGGGAGGTGGAGCAAAACAGCTGGGCTTGAAAGATCAAGACCATGTCGGATTGCTTTATATTGTTGCGTTGCGTGTTATTGTTGTTTTTAAACGAAGTTATGACGAACAGCTAAAGCTAACATATCTTTCTCAACCTCACAGGGTACGTATAATGACACAGTCGCATCCCACGAGACACAAATCGAGATCAGAACCTACGAATCGAAACTAACAACTCAACAGAGGCAAGGGTACTCCCCGCCGCAAGGTCAAGAAGGTCCACAAGTCCTCCGGTGCCGACGACAAGAAGCTCCAGGCCACCCTGAAGAAGATGAACGTCCAGCCCATCCAGGCCATCGAGGAGGTTAACATGTTCAAGGAGGACGGAAACGTCATCCACTTTGGTGCTCCTAAGGGTATACAGTCCCCACACCTTTACCCAACATCTCACATAAGGAATTCCCCAGACCACTGACATGATTTCGGTTGGTATAGTCCACGCCTCCGTCCCCTCCAACACCTTCGCCCTCTACGGCAACGGCGAGGAGAAGGAGCTCACCGAGCTCGTCCCCGGTATCCTGAACCAGCTTGGCCCCGACAGCCTTGCTTCCCTCCGCAAGCTTGCCGAGAGCTACCAGAACATGCAGAAGAACCAGGCCGGCGCTGACGGCAAGAAGGACGATGAGGAGGATGATATCCCCGATCTCGTCGAGGGCGAGAACTTCGAGAGCAACGTTGAGTAAATTTAAAAAATACCTTTACCAGCTTGAATTATTTGAGGAATTGATATCATCTTCGTTGCCTTGCCAACTTTCAAATATATGTGTTGATGAATTGAGTGTGTGTGGGAATATTATATTACCCCGTTCTCTGAAATGGATGATTCCAATCATTAAAAAAGAAGGAAAATGAGGCTTGTGTGTGCTGCTCTTTTTGCCTTGTGGGTGTGCGCGCTGAGCGGATTCGTTCTCTTTTTCCTGCATATGATATTATGCTTGGAGCTTGGAGCTTTGAGTTCACGATTGTTGGTTGGGAAGAAGTCAGCTTTTCTTACAATGGAAAGGATCATACTATTTTCATCTTCACTCGGGCTTTGGGGGTAAAGGTGAGGGAGGGTGAGAGGTGTTTTACGGGGGGATGTAAAATCTAGGCCATAGGGTCTGTCTGGATCACTGTCATCGGGTATACGGATGACTTGACTGGTCATGAAAGTCGGAGAGTTGTAATGCGGAGAAAAGCCATGACATATTAGTAATGACTGAGCATTGTATCAGACGCTGTAATGGCTCATTATCTCGAACTCTATCTAGAATGGCATGCGTATACGATTAATGACGCATGTAAATGCAGTATACTGGTAATAAAAGCTTCTATGATGAATGTGGTGGTAATGATATCAAACACAATCGCTTTTCATATGGTGAACAAACCTCGCTGAACAAACAAATCAATGGGTATTGGTATACATGAAGCATCATAAGGTAAAAGCCAATATCAGTCACACAAAGCAACAGAGCAAAGCATCATCTACTCTCCACCTGATTCATCGAGGACTTCTTAGGAACAAACGGCGCCGTAGTCGGCTTCGACTTTCTCCTCTCATCCTTAACGCGCAGCCCTCGGCTCAAGCCACCCCCGAGACCCCGTGCAAGCGATGCAAAGGGCGACGCAGCTTGCCAGTTATCCAGATCCTCTTCGTGCTGACCAACACTAGCCACGACTTCACTGCCGTGTTTCGAGGACCCGGATCCGTCGGAAGGTTTGGCGCGGTGTCGGTGGAGAGAGGTCTCGCTGCCGTGGGCGCTCGGGGACGTCGGATTAAGTCTCCACGGGTTCGTGGGGATGTCAGGGTCAATGTAGTCGGCGCATTTGCAGCCACAGCCGCTCGGGCAGAAGTGGTACTCTTCCTGTTCGGGGTCGGGTGTGTTCGATGATGCCATAGAGAACCAGCCTCGATGGCAGTCGAAGCAGCTTACGTGACCGCAGCCGAGGCAGGGGATGAGCATGCCTTCGACGACTTCGCTGCAGATAACGCAGGGGAGTCTGAGAGGGAGAGGCTGTTTTGGTTTGCAGTGAGGGCAGGTGAGGGGAGGTGGTGTTATGCCCTTTAAGTGGCCCTTGGGTATTGCTTCGGTGAGTGCCTTGGTCGCGAAGATGGAGTGCTGCAGGGCTTGGCCACAACTGATGCAGTGGCGTTGGATTTCTAGACCCTGGTTTTCAGTATCAGTGGGCGCAGCCGTCGAGCTTCTGCGCTTGGAGGTGGGAAGAGAGAATGAATCGTGGTGGCTTCTGTGGCGACGGTGTGTCGGCTCCTTGGTGGGATTGGGGGTGCCGCCGATCTTCAGTACTTCACTGCGTTGAACTGGCAGTCCCCATATAGATAGCAGATGAGCGTATGCTGCGCGATAAGACCGATACAGCCACTCTTTCTTGGGATCGAGGAAAGTATTCTGCGACTGTCCATTGCCCTCGAAAGCAGCTTGGTTCTTCAAGACTGCGCGAACCTTTGTCGACGGTTTGGCTGGAGCAGGTCTCTCGCTCTCCGTGTCAGAATGAGTTTGTGACGTGAGCGCGGTGGAGGTAGTCAAATAGTCGGGAATGGCTGAAACTGGTTTCGCAGTAAAGGCACTCGTCACCCACACCCCTGGCCCTCCGACTGTATTGGGACTGCCATTAGGATTGAAAACCTTCCGTGACAAGGCAGTTGCTGGAGGAGATGCTGACGAAGGACCAAATGTAAGAGAGCGGGAAAGAGACGAGGCGAGAACGGAGCCAATCCCGGAGCCACTGCGTGGTTGTGATTGCTGGTCAGGCGAAGCAGCGATTGCTATGTTCTGGGTCCATGTCTTGCGGTCTGCTGCTAGGGGGCCCGCTCGGCTGGCCAGAGGAGGAGTTGTGCCGGTGGAATATGGCGGCGTGGAATCGGGACGCCAAATTTCAGACGAAGAACGCCCCGAACTATGTGTGATAGGCGTTGCGTGACTGTCCTTCGGTGTAGTGGCAAGCGGCACGGCCGTCTGCGGTTTAGTCTGCACAGCCGAGTTGGGGGAATACAGATCAAAAGAAATTGCATGCTCTTCCATCCGCCTGGACACGGCCCGACTGACATCAGCGTGTTCTTTGGAAGCCTCGTCAATGTTTGCTTCGTGCAAAACACAAGATAGCATAGCGATCATTTGCACGTCACCGATTTGTTCGAAATGTTCGAAGAGAGCAGGAATCAGCCACTGACCACCGAATGGGTGGTCGCCCCAATGTATGACGGAATTTAGAAACCCTTTGTGGCGTTGGTCCTGACTTCCCATATCGTTACTCAGATCCACGGCGCTATCCTTCCTTTGTATGTACGGTCTATCCAGGGTGTCAAAACCGGACGAAAACATTGAGCTTTTGCAGTTGTGCAAAATAAGCCTGACAAGTCCCCAGATTCGAGCCAGCTCGTAATAACCGTGGTCGAGGGCTACAGCTGAATTATGCGCACAAACGTCCGTGACTTTGCCGCAAATACGATATTTGCTAGCCAGTTCCCGCTTGGCTGGTAGCAAATCACTGAAGTCGTGGATGGAGATGACATTTTGCGAGCCTTCAGATGATTTCGATGTCATCGCACCAACGGTCGACCTTTGGGAATTGTCTGTAGAGCGCGGACGATAAAGTCCAAGACTGCCACCACTTCGCCATGTCTGAGGTGTTGGAAACCGGTGCTGGAGCCCTGACAGAATACCAGAAGACCCGGAAGAGCTTGACGATTCGGCGTCTGAATCGTCTGAATATTCAGAAGCCCCATCGTCAGTGCTGGCCATTGTGACAGATGTCCGAGGTCCAGGAGAATTGGTCTGCAGACGACCAAAGCCTTCGAAGACCTTGTCCGCTCTAGATAACCTGGTCATTTCCTTGAATCCTAGGTTTTCTAGCCAATTGGACTTGTCCTTCTTGAAGGGGAAGAAGCACACCAAGCGACCGTCGTTGGCCCACAGTGCACCGCATCCCTTGGCTACAGGGACCATGACATTGGCATTGACCGGTCGAAGCAGTTCAGAACTCATGCCTAGATCTTGGCTTTGAGACAATCCGACTTCATCTTCATCGCTGGACTCCTCACCCCCTAGTTGGCCGTTGATGGGAGACTTGACAGTGTCTGCCGTTTCCCCAAGAATCCAAGCGATGCTTTCTTCCAGGGTGCTCTCGCCCAAGAGGTAGCGAACGACACCTTCGAGACATCCTCTTTTGTGAGCAAGGAACGTCTCTGCAATCGTGCGAACTTCAGCTATTAACTTATCGGCAAGCTGATCGGTGACAGCGGCAGTCTTCTGCACACTGAACGTTGGCATGGCATCTCGAGGGTAATCAACAGGGAACTTGATATCGACTTTCATGAAAATAGAGTCACCATCGTCACCCCATGGTCCATGAAGGGATATTGTTGCCTTTCGTTGTCTGACATCGACCGATTCAAAAGCAACCTTGGTGAACTTTTCTCCGACGTGGGTAATTTCGTCGCCCAATGTCTCGATATCCCAACCGGATATTTTCACGCCACGCATCCAGGAAATAGGATTAGTATCCGTGCGAACGTTTGTCCGACCCTGCATTCCAATTCTAGACTCAGCGTTTCCTCCGCTCTGCGTCCACGCGCGAGCGTATGGAACCGAAATAGTATTCATGCCCAGATTACGAGACGTCTGGGGCGTAGAGCTCTGTCGAGTAGTGGGTGACAACGAGTCCATATCTTCTTCCTCTTCGTCAATAGGCGTATCTCGATATGACCTATACAGTGCGCCCTTGCGCGTAAGGCTCATATTGGAGACGTAAGTCTTCCCTTTCTCAAAGCCAACCCTTTGCATGATATCTGGATCGACTCTGTGTAGGCGGAGTTCACGATCCGTGCCCCAAGACACCAGCTGAAACTCTCTATTATCGATACCATCCTCTATTTCTCCGCGTGCTCTCCAGAGAAACTCTTTCACCTGGCCTTTGTGTCCTAGAAAGCTGTGTACCAGAGGAAGTTCATCATTGGAAGTAGAGCCCTCCCCGGCCCTCCGACTATATAAGTGGAGATCACTGTTTCCTCTTTGTGGCATGGCCAAGACACCCCATCCAAAAGGGGTATTTCTTGCTCGCCATACTGGAAACGGCGTCTTGATCACCTTCTCCGGTACCTCTGTGTCCACCGTGTAGTCCCAGAATTTGATCGTCTTGTCTAGAGAGCACGTTACGAGGGCCCCGGGCCGTACTCTGTTCCAATCCAGCCCATAGATCTTCGTGCTGTGTGCCTCAATAGACTTGATCGGATACGCGCCCATCCGCTTGTCCCATATTCGCAAGAATTTGTCGTGAGAACTGGCAATAACGTTGGGGTCCTGTCGGTTCCATTTAACCTGAGTTGCTCCAGCAAGCCAGTCAGAGAACGAGATGGCGGGACGGGAGGGTGTCCGCAGATCCCAGCAGTGGACAAAGCTATCAACGGCACAGGTCGCGAGCATATCTGCATGATGCGCGGAGAAGTTGATGTCTGTTATAGCTCGAGTGTGGGCGTGCAGAACGTGCTCAATCGAGCTTGGCGAGGATTTCATGCCCAGGTTCCATACCAACGCCTTCTGATTCGACGTGCTAACGACCCAATAGTCTCGGGCAGCAAACGGAGACCATTGAACGTCTGCAACCTCCCATGGTGTGTGGTGCGGTAGATACCTTGGCGGCGAGTATGGCGAATCCAGATCGATGATGTGAAGACCTTCCTTGGAGGCTAGAACCACATCCCGGCCACAGGGCGAGATCGACATAGACCCAACAGGCTGCTCCACATGGAATGAGCTATCCTCCCCGAATGTTGGACTCTCGAAGGCCGAAGTGAGAGGCCTGGGCTCGCTTTGATCCACCATGATGGCGTCGCCGGCTCCGGGCCTGAAAAGCTCCTTGGTTTCGGTGCTACCTGTCGGCTGCTATGCACGCCTTGGAGAATCGTTCGAACGGACTCAGAGAAACAGGAAGCACATTGGTGGAAGAATTGTTTGCGGCCATACACGGTGCTATCATATCGACCGCGTTTGTCATGGACTTTTCATCAATTGAGTAGGAGGAACGGGTCTGTGGAATTGGCTGTGCGCATTGTGGAGGTCGTTACGGGGGGGCGGTCGAACTTGGAATTCCAGAGGCGCATGTACCGTATCTTCGATAGACCAATGATGAAGGGCTATTAAAAGATTAAATAATAAGAAGAGCAGGAGAAGGAGTCACTATGTCAATTGGAATCTTGCCTGGGGAAGAGTAGATATCCGAACCAAAGGCTTTAGACAGCAGCAGTGGACTCCGCAAAGTCCGGGGTTGGCGAGTTGCTTTCCGGCCGCAGTCTCCGATTCTGCACACTTGGTCCCTCCGGCATCCAGTGTCCATTACGGCAGGCGGTGTTTCCGACCAGCGCAGCCCCTCTGTCGGTTACGTCGTTCCATATCGATTCCAGCCATAGGAACATCCCAGGTGGCTGTTGCTTTTAATCCCCGCGACCATCTGCTAGAGGCTGCTGTCGAGTTTTGCCTGTTACAAAGCTACGTGGGAGAGGTATCCGCCGCTTTCCGACTGCCAGAAATCTGCAGGAGAGCTGTAAGCCCCACCTCGATCATAACCGTGAAATCGCGGGGTTGGACAGAACATTAAACCTTTCTATTTCACAGACTCAAGATGGCGTTGCCAAAGAGAATTATAAAGGAGACTGAGCGTCTCATGGCTGAGCCGTGAGTAGTTCTGCTCTACACAATAATACTATCAAGATAGAGATTGTTGACGCATGTCCGCAGAGTTCCTGGCATCAACGCCGTACCTCACGAAGATAACTTGCGTTACTTCGATGTCTCCATTCACGGACCGGCACAGTCTCCGTACGAAGGTAAAAAGGGAGCATACACAGGCTGTTTGTATGGCTGTTGACTTCTTTCAAGGTGGCATTTTCCGCCTCGAGCTGTTTTTGCCAGAGGACTACCCGATGACTCCGCCCAAGATTCGCTTTTTGACTAAGATCTATCATCCCAACATCGACCGCCTGGGGCGGATTTGTTTGGACGTCTTGAAGAGTATGCGCTACTACTGATCTACTTGGGAAAGAAGATACAAGAATCTGGGCTAACGTGTGACTAGATAACTGGTCTCCCGCTTTGCAAATTCGCACGATCCTTCTCTCTATTCAGGCTCTGCTGGGAGCTCCCAACCCGGATGACCCCCTTGCAAATGATGTTGCTCAACGCTGGAAGGAGGATGAGCCAGCAGCGATACAGACTGCCAAGGAATGGACTAGAACCCATGCGATGACTTAGATAAGAAAGGCGGAAAGGGCTCCACCCGCTAAACAAACTATAAGAGCAGCAATGTTGTGATGTGACCATGAGCAAAAGTACTGCGACATTCTGCCTTCCTGGCATTATTTTAGGATAGGCCTCGATTCTTCGGGACCTTCCCTTCCATACAATGAGAAGGCATCCCTAACCATCAACCCTGGTTCGTTTCCCCGCGAGTGCTCATGTATGGTGATAGAGCTGTGGCTCATTCAGATATGTGGTATAGGCATTTGCTTTCTTTCATCCGGCTGCGATCTGCTTTTCGATTTCGATGTTAGAGATTCATTCCATAGAATTGCAATATACCTGTAGCAGATCGTCGACTTTGGCTTTGTTCTTATTGGCCCAACTGTCCTGGTGAAATAATCAGCCTCTGGCTTGTAGTTCACAGTGATTCATGACTATCTATTAAATACAATGGTCTACCCAGTAGCATGCTATTACTAAAATCAACTCTGATTCCTTGTCTGTGAAGGCTTCTTTTCTAAACGTGAATAGTATAGTCCTGGAGCAAATCAGCTAGGAGATTCATTACACTGTACCAATGTGAATAATTTCAGAAATCCACTCATCTTAACACGTAATTTATAGTTTGGCCTCCCTCCCTTACGCTCCCTCGTTCGATTATATTCATTACCAGGAAAATACCGATATTCTGCCTGCCTGCTTGCCTGCCTGCGCTGTTCTTCACCATCAAGCAATAGAAGATAGTTATCTAACCAAGCACTTCAAGCAGACTACTCACAGTGACTATTAACGACAGCACGATTAATAACGAGGACAATATGGACAACTCTGGAGAAGCAACGTATGTTTTCTCTTCTAATTGCCTATCACCAGCAAGAATTGGGGAAAGAGAAGCCACACTAGTTATCTTGATATATCTGACATCCACGGTTCTAGAGACCAGCCTCACGCTTTTCAAGTAGAAAGCGAGGACCCGGTTTCTTCTAACCTCACTCAACTCACCGACGACATCACCAACCAACTTGCCCGAGCATTTCACATCACTGACCATCACGATGACCCGCTTTTCTTGCCAGCTTTGTTTACAAATCCTATGAATACGACGACAACAGAGCAGCATATAAGAGAAGAACCAGATGGAATGTCCCTAGACTCCTCTCCCCAGATTCTGCACTCGGTGTCTGGAACTGGCACACTTCTCAACGCACAACAATCCCCTTTAACCACTGCTGATTCTCACGAAGTGGTACATACAACTGCAGCAGCTCGCAGCCTCGCCGGCATTCTGAAGAAGAACAAAGGCGGGAAGACAGGAAAGAAAGTCAAGTTCGCAGCCCCGCCAGGGAAGGTAGTAAAGTGCTACAAATCTTCTCAGGGTAAGTGTTCTTACTCCGGGCACGTGTGGCTACCATAGTGACAGCTGATCCAGAGCATAAAAAGAGGGACTAAGCAATGGCTTCCTGGCTCCGTCCACTTCAGTCCATCCTCCAGATCGTCTCGTCCAAGGACAGACAGACTGCCAAGCGAGATAAGAAGAAAGTTATTGTTGTCATGCCAAAACATCAGCTTTCGGATGGGGGAAATGACAAGGATAAGGACAAGGATGAAGAAGGAGCGGGCACGGACTATCACGATAGCTTTCCAGTTGTGGGCGCGAGCTCGATCGACGACCTGGTAAGTAACTATCCCAACCCCACAACGATTGGCATGTGCCTGCTAACTGGATGACAGGTTGAATATATTCGCCAGGCCACCGCTTGTCCTAAGCAAACGCGCAACCTCAAGGATTATTGGAAACACCAGAGAGGTGGTGACGTTAGGACTTGGGGGTATAGAAACCCATGGTGCACAAAATGCTACGGGGAATGCCCCATCTGCGGTACCGCCTGTTGCGTATACGAGGAACTGAAACGTGAAGTCTCAGACGAGGCATCAGATCCTCTTGTGTCACGAGACCGGAGACGGATAATGGACCTAATGGAGTCGGTGGGAGCCTACATCAAAGACGCGAGCACGTTCTCCTTGTGTTCAACGCCAGGTTGCGGAAAGCATGTCTGCCCATCCTGTTGCGGAATATGCCCGGACAAGCGTTGCCGAGATGTACAGTGCAAGGTGAGCAGCGAATCTGACTCCCATCTTTTCAAGTAATGCATGATACCGTGTTGACAGCGATGCTGCTTAGGAGTGCAAGGCAGATCCCTGGGCCGTATGCGACTGGCACTAGTAGTCAGCGGTGCGCCACGTTATGAAGCACGACAATATCATGACGAAGTTACGATAATTATGCCGATGACATTCGTTGTTAAGCGATCCCAGAGACATTTCCGGATTCATTGGCCATTGAAGGGTGGTATGGAGGAGTCTTCGGTAGAAGATGGCAGTTTCGATGGTATTAGGTCATTATCCGTATGGATAGTGAGCGAGCATTGAGGCCAATTTATGTATTGTAAAGGCATCAATCCAAATATGCGACCAAAATGTCAGTTAATCCCTCAAATTGGATTATTTAAATAAATTGTCAAAGTCCTAAATAATACATATCGAAAACCAACTCATCAAGCGCATACATCCCGATCCCCAAGATCTGGAGAAGTAGAGGCGGAAGCCAACCAGCCAAGGGCAGGGGCGGTCACGTGGCACCGCTTAGCGAGGCTCCGCACCGCACCACAATTGTGTCAGTCTCACGAACAGCTCGCCGCAGAGACCGCTTCGACTCAACCACCCAACGCCAACCGACAACATCTCGTCTCGACCGGCTGCGCATCTCAGACGTTCAAGATGCGTACCTACGACGATTCTTTCAGCGGTCAGAAGATCTACCCTGGAAAGGTGCGTTTTTATGTCCCTTTTCCGCCAGCCAAACAGCAAACGAACGGCCTCGAAATTCGCCACGAAAACCTACCTCTACACCAGACCCTTCACCAATGCATGCAAAAGAAGGATATATCAGTTGACGGTTTCTTTTGAAAAATTATAGGGTAAGCTGTACGTCCGTGGCGACAGCAAGATCTTCCGCTTCCAGAATGGAAAGTCCGAGTCCCTCTTCCTCCAGCGCAAGAACCCCCGCCGCATCGCCTGGACTGTCCTCTACCGTCGCCAGCACAAGAAGGGCATCTCTGAAGTCAGTACCCGCCATTTATCCCTTTGGATTGTTGAGTTTGTTGTTTCGTTGTTTTGTTGCACGGGTTGGAAGAGGAGGGAGTACTGGGTTGTTCTACCATCGAATTACGACGCGAACATACATGAAGAATTCGTGATTGGATATGACGGTTGAATGCTTCGATGATATACTGGGTGGATTAAATTACAACCCAGTGGTGGCAGTGAAGACTATGGCAACAACATTGAAGGAAGACAGGGGGGATACAAGTTTCCATGAAAGGAGACCGCATGCTGACCGGGACCCTTTTTCAAATTTACAGGAAGTTGCCAAGAAGCGCACCCGCCGTGTCGTGAAGAGCCAGCGTGCCATCGTTGGTGCCTCCCTCGACGTGATCAAGGAGCGCCGCGCTCAGCGCCCCGAGGCCCGTGCCGCCGCCCGCCAGCAGGCCATCAAGGACGCCAAGGAGAAGAAGGCCGCCAACGAGAGCCGCAAGCGTGCTGAGAAGGCCAAGGCCGCTGCCTCCGGTGCCAAGCCCGCTCAGCGCATCCAGAGCAAGCAGGGTGCTAAGGGCTCTGCCCCCAAGGTCGCTGCCAAGTCGCGTTAAAACGGATTAGAGGCGGTACTGGCTGTTGGGACTGGGATGAAAGTAAAAGGATAAGAAATGACAACACTATGGGGGGAATATGTTATGGACATAGGGAATTTGGGAGGTTATTCTAATAAAAAAGAAACCCCCGAGGAGCGTTTTTCTTTTGCCTCATCAAAGATTTCTATTCTCCAAAAACATCAAACGAATCTCCTTTTTTTGCGGCGTATGAGCGTTGGGTAAGGGGATAAGATATCCTTTTTGCTCCTTCCTCGGATATGAATGAGTTTCTTATTCGTTATTACGCCGTTTCTTTCCCCCCTCCTGCTTCTCCCCCAAGTGGTATGTCTTACTTATTACTACCCAGGAATTGGAAATGGATGTGATATGATTACTTCATTCCTCCTATCTACTTTCGTATTAGTAGTATCATACCCTGTAAAAAGGCCCAAGCGCGCAACATACATGATCTTATCGCTCTCGCCCGATCCTTCAAGATCATCTTTAAAAGTAAACCAGAGACCCCCGGGCCTCATCACGTGAATCACGTTCGTAACTGTAAATCCATAGGGCTCAGACCTAGACTAACCGTTTCCGGTACCATTCTTCATAACCTTGATGGAATTTATGCCTCAGGCAGAAAGGCAGAAAGGGATAAAGTGTATGCATGGGCATATGTACTTTTATGAGAATGGTGCCATGACAACTATCGATTCTGCATGACTTTGTTTACTTGTTTCGGGTACCTTCGTATACTTGACATGCATTGTGGTTATTGTGTAGCGTTTGCAACATGTAGCTATTTCTCATTACCATGAAATCTAAGGGTTCATGCTATTCCTATGATGATTGTACAGATCTCTCTAATGGAGACGATGAATGATGCCAGAAAACAACTGACAGATTACCTCCAGCCATCCTGCAAGTAGCTAATATATAGTATGAGTATAAATGAACATCCATGAAACAATCGAACAAGTCCCGACCCAACCCGTATCTAGACATCTATCTATGTAGTATACAACAACAACAACGCTTGAACATGATGACATTCAATAATCCCGAAGCACAAACCACCTTCTTCCGCCTACTTTTCAATTAAAACCTAATAGTAATGAGCCATCTCCAATCCAGCACGCTTGAAGCCGCACTTGAGGTAGAATCCCTCATTCGCCTCGGAGCAATCGAGAATACTCTGCATTGACCATTAGCATCATGACGACCACCACTCCCATAATAAGAAGTAGAAGACATACCTTGTAGCATCCCACCTGCGCCGCAACATAATCCAACGCCTGAATAAGCCTCAGCCCGAGCCTCTTCCCCTGCTGGCCCTTCTCGACGGCAATGTCCTCAATATGGCCCACAAGACCCAACTCATGAATGAACTTGCGCTCAACAATCAAGCTGCCCGTGCCCACGACACGATCCTCCCCGTCACAGATAACAAGCAGGTAGTACTCGTCATTGCGCGACGAGATCCAGTCGTAGCGCTTGTTCCACTGCTCCTCGGTGATGGTGCCGACGGTCGTCAGCACGCGCAACACGTCCAGGTAGCCGCGGCTGTAGTCGGAGCGACGGACGGGACGGATCTTGTAGCCTTCGGGCAGTTCGGCGGCGACGGAGGGGGAGATGAGGGTCGTAGGGAAGAGGGGGGCGTCGTCCTTGGATTCGGCGGGGGGTTGGGTGAGGGTGGAGGCGTTGGTCATGTTGGCGGTGGTATGTTTTTTGTCCGTCTTGAACTTTTTGCTGGAGAGGAGAAAAAGGCTTTGAGGAGTTTCGTGAAGAGGTTGTTTGGTAGTTTAGTTAAGGGAGGAAGGGCCCCTGGTTAGTGGCGGGGTTCAATTGAGTGGTGAAAACGGATGGGAATTATTGAAACGCTGGAATGAAGGATTTCTTCAGTGATAGTGAGTGTTTGAACGAAAGACAGAGTATTTCCAACGAAGGTGAGTATTTGAGGGGGAAAGGGATGAAGGGAAAAAAAGGACAGGTCAATCGAGTCAGTCGGTCAGTCGGTGATGGAAAAGAAAGGGCCAGGCGGAGGTAATAAACAAGCAGTAAGAGAAGGGCCCACGGTTTGCCTGAAACACCAAACACTTTGGAAATCCGCCCCTGACTACTTACTACTTACCACTACATACGGTTCTTTCCGACTGGCACTGGTCAAGCCGATCACCCTCCAAGCCTGACTGGCGCAGCAACGTTACTAGTTAGTATGCCTAAATTTAACACCACTTGACTGGCCCTCAGCAACACACCGTCAGTCGTTGCTATCCGTGCATCTTGAACTATTCGATCGGTGGGCGGGACCGCTTTGGTGGTCCAAAAATAGCACACCCCGGGGTCAGCCCCGTCATCAGCCCGAGAAAATTCTATACTCCGTACAGCGAAGAACTCTATCCAAGCAATAAGCTGAACAAGAAGAATAGTACAGTAGTATTCCTGAGTATACAAATATCTCCTAGGCAAAAGCTAGTCTTCGCTAGATGACTCCTCCAAGCTAAGCCAAAACATCTCTCGTCCCGCTATACATTTATTTCTTCTCCTTGGGGCTCAGCATCAGCTCCGGGCGGACGTACTTGTCAAAGTCCTCCTCGCTCAGAGCCTTCAGCTCCATAGCACTCTGCTTCAGAGTGAGGCCCTTCTTGTGGGCGTTCTTGGCGACCTTGGAGGCCATGTCGTAGCCAATGACGGGGTTCAGGCAGGTGACCAACATCAGACTACACCACCGTTAGTTGTCTTCTTTACAAAGGTCCGATTTTTTAGGGAAATACATACCTCTCGTGGAGGAGAGAGTTGATGCGGGGCTCGTTGGCCTCCAGACCGTGCACCAGGTTCTTCTCGAAGCTGGCCATGCCATCGGCCAGGATGCGCACGCTGTGCAGCAGGTTGCGGATCATGAGGGGCTTGAACACGTTGAGCTCGAACTGACCGTTCATGCCGCCGACAGTGGCAGCGACGTGGTTACCCATGACCTGGGAGCAGACCATGGTAAGGGACTCGCACTGAGTGGGGTTAACCTTGCCGGGCATGATGGAAGAGCCAGGCTCGTTCTCGGGGAGGACCAGTTCACCAAGACCGCAGCGGGGACCGGATCCAAGGTAACGGATGTCCTGGGCAATCTTGAACAGAGAGCAGGCCAGGGTGTTCAGGGCACCGGAAGCCTCGACAATCGAGTCGTGGGCGGCCAGAACCTCGAACTTGTTGGGGGCAGTCTTGAACTCGGTGCCGGTCAACTTGGTGACCTCAGCAGCGATAGCCTCGTCGAAGCCCTTGAAGGTGTTCAGACCAGTACCGACGGCGGTACCACCCTGAGCCAGGTAGCGGAGGTGGGGGATGCTAGTCTCGACACGCTCAATGTTGCGGTCGAGCTGAGCGACGTAGCCGGAGAACTCCTGACCGAGGGTGAGAGGGGTGGCGTCCTGCAGGTGAGTACGACCGATCTTGATGATCTTGTCGAACTTCTCAACCTTGACCTGGAGAGCATCGCGCAGGCTCCTCAGGGAAGGCAGGAGGGTGTTCTCCAGCTCCACAACGGCAGCAATGTGCATAGCGGTCGGGAAGGAGTCATTGGAGGAGGCGGACATGTTGACGTGGTCGTTGGGGTGGACGGGCTTCTTGGAGCCCTTCTCGCCGCCCAGGATCTCAATGGCGCGGTTGGAGATGACCTCGTTCGAGTTCATGTTGGACTGGGTACCGGAACCGGTCTGCCAGACGACGAGGGGGAAGTGGTCCATCAGCTTGCCCTCCGCAACCTCGGCGGCAGCCTGCTTGATGGCCTCGCCGATCTTGGGGTCTAATTTCCTGGTGTTAACTTCGCCGGAGCTGTGCTGCTTTAATCGATAGCGGCTTACCAAGGCCGAACTTCATGTTCACTTCAGCAGCAGCACCCTTGAGGATACCGAAAGCCTTGACAACGGGCTCAGGCATGCGGTCCTGGGGCTGGTTGATGTCGAAGTTGCCCAGGGAGCTATTGTCGCGCCAGTCAGCATCTGCTCACTTCGTGTATCGGTCGCATAGCCAGTTTGCAGTGTGGCAGCGATTGTTGAAATCGGGGTCTTACCGCTGGGTCTGGGCACCCCAGTACTTGTCGGCGGGGACCTAGAAAAGAAAAGCAGTCAGCATTCGCATTCTATACGCATCGTGTGCATCAGTGTAGCACATACCTCGATCTCACCGAAGGCATCGGTCTCAATGCGGGTAGCCGAAGACTAAAACAATAACCGATTAGCAACGTCTCGCAGTTGGGGCTCTTTCCCCATAGCGAAGTCATCCATATGATAGATGCGATTCAATGGAAAGGATAGAGCATACCATCTTGACGGTGGTGCCAAAGGCTCTCTTGCTGGAGGTGGAAGTCAAGGTCTGAAGACGGGGGAAGTGTTGAACAGGTCGGCTATTGGAGCTCAGAAGACGACGGCAACTGAACGAGGCGGGGGTGAAAGCGACGGCAGTGCGGGCAACTGCGGGGGAAGCCGAAGCTCGAGATGCAGCATGTGTCAAGGAGGCCATCGAGCGCACCGCGGCTCGGGAAGTGTGGGCAGATGTCAACATGACGACCGGCTTCTGGATCTATTCATCATCACGCGCGTTAGTCACTGTGTGTGGCTGGCTAACCAATGGTGCCATTTTTTGGGAAACAATTCACATCCTGTCGAGGATGTGTGCAAGGGATTGGTCGTACTTTATCTCTCTAAAATAAACAATATAAGACGACAGATCTAATGATATTCCAATTCTACCCAAAACCTGGGGGACGGCAAACAAACCACGCAGAAAAGAAGGGAAGAAGAAGAGCAGCAGCAGCCGCGCATATTTAATCCACCCCAACTGTTTCCGATACCGCCTGCCGAAATCTCCCGGCCCGGTAATGTTCAGGACGCCGGTTACCCGTCTGCCACACCTTCGCTGCCCGGCCTAAATGGTATCATACGGTAAAGATTCTCGTCGGATAAACCATGATCCTGCTGTCTCTCCGCATTTCCATCTTCTAGTCGCTCTGCACTAACACTGCTCTCCATCTTCGATATCCCTTCAACCGAACCAATTGATTATTTACCCTGTTAGTTCCCGTTTCATCGCTTCGATGACCTTCTCGGTATATATACGGCCGCTCTCTAAGATGCCATCCAACATGGCAAATGTGTGGGGTGCTCCTGCCATACGCATCATTTCCACTCGACAACCGCCAGCTTTCAATTTGGCAGCGTAGGCCTCCCCTTCGTCCCGCAGAGGATCCATTTCGGCGGTGAAGACCAACGCAGGTGCTAGTCCAGAAAAGTCAGGCGCAAATATGGGGGAGATCTTCCAGTCCTATGGATCACATCAGCATCTTGCAGTTGTGTGCAGCTCCGGCTGCAGCAATTACGGTACTACTTACCTCTTCTGAACGTGCTGGCCGGGGAACCCCCAAAAAGTGTCGATGGAAATAAGCCATCCGTGCTACCGGAAGAGCTGCGGTGAACTCCATCTCTCTGTAGGACTCATAGGGACAGTTCTCCCGATCGAATTCACCATCCGGAGTGTAGCCGCTATGTAGATCACATACGGGCACGTTCAGCACCTGCAGGCGCAACGGAATGCCGCCATTACGGCAGAGATGAGCGACCACGGCTGACAGGTGGCCTCCGGCCGAACAACCTCCAACAGCTATTCGATTCGGGTCAACGTTGAACTCCTCTGCTTTCTGGGAGCGGATCTGCACGGGATGTCAGTTAGTATTGACCATACCGGTCGATGTAGACAGGGAGTTGTAGCTGACCCAATTGAAAGCGGTCCAGCAGTCGTCAACGGGGATCGGGTACTTGTGCTCAGGAGCTAGCCGGTAGTCGACATCAAACGCGACCAAGTGCCCGTCCAGGCCATCGACGAGTGTCTTGCAGAAATCGTGATCAACTGAGAGATCGCCGAACACCCAGCCTCCCCCATGGAAGTTGACAAACGCAGCCCTCTTTTTGGCCTTGCCATGCTCATCCGCTTTCGGGGCAGGCTCGAAGATACGGATGGTTATCTCGCCCCCTTGCACGGGACATTTCTGCTCCGTGATGCGGAAGACATCAGGACCTTGAGCACGGCCGTAGGCAATGGCATACTTGGCTGGGTTCTTGCGGAAGTCTTCGATAGGAACCTCATGCGTATGTAGCCTCCCAGCATTGTATTTGTTGTAGTGTTCCACATAGACCGGGTCGAACCGAGGCAGCAACTCCGACGGGATGCTGTTGTGAAGTGGTTGGATAAGGACCCGGGGCCGTAGCTCACTCAAGGTCTTTTCGTCTTTAAGCGCAGACATAGTGATGTCAGTCTATCCGATGGTAGGAATTAGGGAAATTGATCCAAGGCACAAGTGCGGGAGAAGTCGACATGACCATGTCCTCTGATGAGGGACAGCCAACCCCTCACGACCCCTCATATGCTCGGCTCTCGATCCGTTATCAGGGAGTGGCTCGTCTGTGCAACCTTATTTCACGTGGAATGCAAGCTTCAATTGAGGCCATCCTCGTCTTTGGGTGTCGGACAACAGGGAATGACCACTATAACGCCTGGTCTTCTGATGGTATCTAAGCAGCTTCACACATTCTCGCTGAATGTTCGCTCGGTTACTGTCGGATCCGACAGCGCTCGGAGGAAGCAGACAATAGCCGGATGTAGCCGTCTGCTATAGTCCGTCGCTGTCCGTCAATCAATATGACAGTAGAGATTGATAGTCTAGTTCGGAGTTAGTAGATGGTTAGTAGGGTAGCATTTGTGGTTAATCATTGTCTCATTGACTACGTATAACCGGCTAACTAGTAGTTATCACACCCGCCCAGCTGACTCGCATAGACAAAGCTAGTAATAATTCATCTGACATGGATCCTGCAAACAACAATTACGAACTGCGAGTGCGCTAAGCAATGTGAGGCAGGGACACGAATTCTGGCCCCCCGGGGCTGAAGGAAGATGACACGAGGAAGTGAGAGACAATATATCCAACTTCCTCCGTCTGTTACTGCTCCAGGCACAACGCAGCAAGGGTCGCATTCCTAATGTCTGGTTCGACCCACCAATTCGCCTTCTCAGGAACCTTTCACTAGACAGACTTTGCCGTCATCGCATTTGCCGCATCGTCAGTGGCAAGAAACAAAGCAAAATCTCTTCGATCGACGTAGGCAGTCTGGGGAATGAGGGATTGAAGCAGCAGCGGGTATTTAGTTGACTCGCCAACCCGCACGGCTGGCATCGCGATGGGCGATATCGGCCACTCCTCACGGCTTCAATTCTTCACCACACCCTGACTCATTGCTCGCACTGATCCACCTTGTTACTGAATTTAGCATATCCGTTCCTTTCTTTTTCTCCCCCTCAGTAAATATCCGCTCCTCGTGTTGCATCGCGACTAGATCTTATTACGCTTCCACCCTCTAGAATCTTTTCCTCTCTTGCTCCACCTTTTTCGCGCCGCCGCTTCTCTACCGGAAAATCTTACCGATTGCCCCCTCCACCTTATATACCTCTTCCGATCCTGCTCAAATCTGAATCATTGGTTGCAATAACCTGCACATTCCCTCGATTCCACTCTCTGGACTCCTCCAACTGCTCCCACCACTACCACCACAATGACTGTCCTTAACCTGACCCCGCTACCGGCGGACGAGATCTTCGCTCTCAACCGCGAATACGCCAACGACACTTTCCCCGACAAAGTCAGTCTCGGTGTCGGTGTCTACCGCACTGACGATGGCAAGCCCTGGCCATTGCCCTCCGTCCGCAAGGCCGAGCAGCAATTGCTCGCCGAAGACAGCCCCTTCCGCCACGAATACACCGCGATTGAAGGCGACATCCCGTTCCTCGAGCTGGCTCGGGACCTGATGTTCGGCTTCGACTCCAAAAACCTCTGCGAGGAGCACAAGGCCCTGAAAGGTCGCATTGGCTCCGTCCAGTCCGTCGCCGGCACTGGCGCCAACCATTTGGGCGCTCTCTTCCTCGCTCACAAGATGAAGCCCAAGACCGTCTGGCTCTCCGACCCCTCCTGGGCCAACCATGTCACCATTTGGGACCTCGTCGGCGTCCCCCGCAAGACCTACCCCTACTACAAGCCCGAGACCCGCTCTTTCGACTTCGAGGGCATGATGTCCACCCTTGAATCCGACGCCCAGGAAGGCGACGTGATTCTTCTGCATGCCTGCGCGCACAACCCCACCGGTCTCGACCCCTCCAAGGAGCAATGGAAGGCCATTGCCGAGATCTGTGAGCGTAAGAAGATCTTCCCCTTCTTCGACTCCGCCTACCAAGGTTTTGCCTCCGGATCCGCCGATGAGGACGCCTGGGCCGTGCGCTACTTCCTCAACGAGAAGCCACAGATGGAAATGTGTGTTGCGCAGTCCTTCTCCAAGAACTTCGGTCTTTATGGCCAGCGTGTCGGCGCTTTCCATTACGTCGTCGCAGAGGGATCCCAGAACCTCCGCGATCTTGTCGTCAACAACCTCTGCCACTTCATTCGCGGCGAGTTCTCCATGGGTCCTACTGGCGGTTGCTCCATCGTCAAGAAGGTCTTGACGAACGATGCCCTCACCACGCAATGGCACGATGATCTCAAGGTCATGAGCTCCCGTATCAAGGCCATGCGCGCTGCCCTGTACGATGAGCTCGTCAGACTTGAGACCCCCGGAACTTGGAAGCACATCGTTGAACAGGTACATACCCACCTCTTGAGTCCCATCCCAAATGCATGCATGCTAATCACGAACTCCTCATAGAATGGCATGTTCTCCTACACTGGCCTCACCCCGACCCAAGTCCAAGCCCTGAAGGAGAAGTACCACGTCTACCTCATCAAATCCGGCAGAGCTTCTATCAGCGGCTGTAAGCTTTCCCCTTACCCCACCCCCCAATTCTAATCCCCACACACACCCACTAACATTCTTTTCCCTAAACAGTGAGCCAGAAGAACGTCGCCTATGTCGCGAAAGCTTTCGACGACATTGTCCGCAACGTCAAATAAACGTACCAACCATTTCGGTTGCTCGGGTAGTCATTTATTCTGCCCGAGGTACTTACACTTCTTCACAAAAGGCTTCGACGCATACCGAAAGAAGAAAGTAAAAAAATAAAAATAAAAAAACAAACAGGAGATAGACTCACCTTATCTTACTTACGAGGCTAACGTACGCCATGAATGATGGGATAACGTACTATATGCGATGAAAGGACGACGATGTACAGATACATATTTTCGGGGTTTTTCTTTTAGCATGCAGCTAGCTAGCATCTAGACCTTTATGCGATGATAGAGCTAGAATTCATTGGGAATTTTACCCTACGGACTTAATGATACTATCACATGAGGCTACCTGTTTGTCTAGTATTTGCTGTACAAGGTCACTACCTAATTCTATTATGATAATTTCCTTATAATAAGGTAGGAAATAAGGTGGAATGGACAACATACATGTTGTCGAGGCATATGAAAATACAACATGAAATATAATAAAATAAGAAACAAACGTAACATACACCGGCCCCGTGACATCATCTTTCCGCCCCAAATCGAAGAAAGGAATAAGATGAAGGAAATGAACTCGTGCGAAGGGTCGTGGTAGGGGTGGGGGAAGAGGGCTAATGTATCGGATATACACTCATGACGCTAGTCAACTTGAATCGTAGATGAAGAACTGAAAAGAAGAAGAGAGGGCTACCAGGGGCACATCATTACAGAGGGACTTCATTAAAGTCCCCTTCTCCACCCTCCTTTGATTTGCGCTCTTTGGTATTTGATGAGTCGCCTTTCTCTTCCTCTTCCTCTTCCTCTTCTTGCTCTCGCGTGTTCTCTTCGGTCTTCTCTTCCTCGTCCTTGCCTTCGCCCTCGTCCTCGTCCTTCTCCGGCGGAGATGGCGGTGTCTCGTAATCACCATTCTGCTCGGCAGTTTCATCCTCCTTTTCTTCATCCTTCGGAGGTGGAGGTGGCGGCGACTCTGTACTCTCGTCCGATCCCACCTCCTTCTCTTCCGCGATGGGCTGGCCGGTCATCTCGGCTCCCGGGAACGGCGTAACCGGAGGCTCAACGTTCTGCTCGTCTTCCTGCGCCGCCTGCCGTGATGGGGTCTGAGCCTGCGCAGCCGGGGGCGCCAGGTTCGAGGTGGCAGTAGAAACCGTTCGCTGATGCTGCGTAGAGCTGTGAATCGGGCCCAGCTGTCTTGCCTTGGGGTCAGCATTCAGGTAATACCCGCGAACACTGACAATAGTGCCTTCGGCCTCGCAAGCATCCACCCACTCCGGAACGACCACGGGAATATTCATCTCAACCGCCTTCTCCCAGAGCGGGCCTCTCCCCTCCGTACAGACAAAGTGGGTGGTATCAATGCGGACCGAGTCGATCAGCTTTCCACCGATGCGATCCAACGCAGCTGCAAGAGCATCCTTCTGTTGCGGGGGAAGGACACCCGCCGTCACCGTGATACCGGAGAGATCCGTCATCTTGTGCGTGCGGCAAGTCAGCTTCTCCGACTGGTAGGTGCCGGCGGTGGTGCGCAGGACGAGATGGAAGGTGTATTCGGTGTGGATGGCTAGACCGCTAATTTTGGTGCTTCGCGTCTCAAGCGGACGGGGAATGGATCCGGCTTTAGAGCCATTGCGGTACAGGGAGAGTGATTTCAGGGATGCGGTGGCTAGGTCAATAGGTTCCCATTCCAAGACGAGGGAAGTTTGAGTTGCGTTGCGGAGACGGAGAACCGGGGGTGTGGGGGTCTTGATGCCGTAGGTATTGAGGATGCGTTTTTGGAGCGACTGGAAGTTGGCGGCACTGGCGGATTCGGCTGTGTGGTTGCGCGCGACGGTGATGTCGACGATACTACCGGACGTGATGTTGCTGGGGAGAAGGACGGAGGGAAATTCGATCTGGGGCGGGTTAGTTGAGTATCAGGGCTACTCTGAAAGAAGAGTGGATTATTTTGAGGCAATATCGTGCAGGCTCGTGCGTCAATCGCTTGCTGTAAGTGTGTGGGGATGGAAATTGAACTCACCAGTCTGTTGTCCTGGGTCAAGAGTACAGCGACTCCTGCGTCTACCTTGCCGACTGTCAAGGAGACCAACATATTGGAAACAGGTAGCGAATTCAGGGATGGCGCATCAAAGAGGGAACAAATTAGTGAAGTCTGAGAACGTTTAGTCACGAGTAGGTGGCCGGGTAATCTTAAGAGGGAAGGAAGAGTTGATCGCAAGAGGAAAGCGAGGTTGTTGTTGTCTTCTTCAGGCTGAATGAAGATCGGCCGGTAGCGACAGGCGCCAAGGAGGCTCGGCCGCGTGGTCTCTGGCCCGCGATAACTACATGAATGCTTCTTTCATTCCATCGATAGGAGTAGCCGGTGAACATGGGATATGGGGAATTTAACAAATCTCCATTTGCCCTTTTTGTTCATCTTGACTTTGTTGAGAAATTATGCATAATGACAGGAAAACGCTGCATGTCTTGCGTGGCACATCGCAAGGGGGCTAAGTATATTTCCCGTCTGCTTATCCACTGATGTTGTACATATATACAATGACGGACCCGGATCAGTGTCCAGAACCACTCTACCTGATGCGCAAAAGTCGACAAAGACTATAATGATGATGTTTCATTCCCTTTAGCATCACGAGCATCCACTGCCTTCTTTTGCTTTTTCGCCGGCTTAGGAGCTGCATCTTTCGTCGTCTTCATATGGTTTACCAAAGCACTCACACCAGCATCCATCTCCTTTCGCAATACCTCAAATGGCTCCCGCAATATATCCGCATGAAGCAATAGGTCAACTCGCCCCTGCAGATTCTTTCCATTCCTCTGTTTCCCATTAGAGTCACCCAGCAGTTCCTGTCCTGCTTTTCGACCGTCCGCGTCAAACCCATGGTCTTTCAACGCTAGCCGGAATGCCATTCGAGCTCGTCGGCTACACCACGATCGAACCACGCGCTTCATCCTCACGGACATCAGATGCGATGGATTTACCATCCACCAGAGAGTGTTCTTGTCGCGGGTGGCATACATGTGTGTGATCTTAGGCTGGAGAGGATGGACATCTGCGTTTAAGTACCGGGAGGCGACATGGGACGGTTTGTAGTTTGGGAAGTATCGCATTATGAACGACTTGTGACTCCTTAGTGTCTTCATGATGGGTGTATGTTGGAGGCCTCGGAACCAAGTCAATTGACTCCGTATATAGTACAATAATGGTAGAATAGATGGTAGGACGCTAGCTGGATGCTTGGTATATTAGCACTAAGTAGTATTATGCGCCTATCGCCGGATCGGAACAGAAAAAGGCCAGCTCTTCCAGCAGCGAGCGATATGTATCTATCTCAACATAGTGTAAGCAATAGAACAGGTAAACATTCACAATATGTGGAATACGAACCAAAAAAGAGTGCTTCCAATTCTCTTGCGAGCCAAAAAGTTATCCCAGCATTCGGGGATGCTTCGGCGGTCCCCTGATTCTGCCACCGAGCGGTCAAGTTATGCTGTCATTGATTGGCGGGCCCCTTGTGGCAAGCCTCAGGCGCATATCAGGCTGCAACGCCACCCACCCACTATGGATGACATAAGCTAACGAAAAGCCTCGCAAAACATGAAGCGCCGGCCTCTCGCTTGCCTCCGCCTTCCTCGTCTTTCCCCCCACTTCCACTCTTCTGGTCCTCAGGGACATCTATTTAAATCTCCCCTTAACCGGACATCTCCTATCGCATCGAGTGAAAGACCACCGCGGTTAGCGAGATCCCAACATGCCCAAGAACAAGGGAAAGGTGAGTTTGTGCTGCATCCCACCCGGGTACCCCGCCTTACAGATTCTCGCTTTGTTTTACGCTTGACTCTGGAGCGCACCTCATGCCACCATATCCCACCTCAACGACACACTTCAGCCCAGAAGATGTGGGATAAGGCGGCATAGAGGCTGTTATACCAATAGAGCATTGCAGAACGAAGCGAACCTGCGCCACAAGTCTGTACGCATGTCTAGGACAGTTTTGCTGACGTATCTGCATTCAAACAGGGCGGTAAGAACCGTCGTCGTGGAAAGAACGAGAACGACAACGAGAAGCGTGAGCTTGTCTTCAAGGAAGAAGGCCAGGAGTATGCGCAGGTCGTGAAGATGCTTGGTAACGGCCGTCTGGAGGCACTTTGCTTCGATGGCGAGAAGCGTCTGGCTCACATCCGTGGCAAGCTCCGCAAGAAGGTCTGGATCAACCAGGGCGACATCATCCTTCTCTCGCTGCGTGACTACCAAGACGAAAAGGGCGACGTCATCATGAAGTACACCGCCGATGAGGCCAGAAGTCTCAAGGCCTACGGCGAGTTGCCCGAGCACGCCAAGATCAACGAGACCGACACCTACGGCCACGAGGGCTTCGAGGACAACGTCGAGTTCGACGAGGACCGCGAGAGCGAAGACGAGAAGGAGATCGATGTCGACGAGCTCTAAACGCCTCTTTCAGGGGCACGATCTCATATCCCTACCGGAGCGACTGGGTTCGGTTCTGTTTTTCTCGACTCATTAAAACTATTGTTTTCTTCAAAAAGCCTTCATGGGAAGAATCTCCCCGAGTATTCTTCCGAACAAGCTGTTACTTGCTTTGAAAGGAAAGAAATCGGACGGCTTGTGCATGCTGTGTGTGTGTGCTAGTCGAGATTTTCCCGCGAAGGTGTCTCGAGTAAAGGAATCAGGGCGGCAGCACCTCCCCGCTCCGCATAGGCGCGTTCTGCCTTTGCTGCGCCCGGTGCGGCTCCGTGTAGTTCGGGGTATGGATCAGTAACAGGGGTTACGCCGGGGGATGTTCTTCATGGTGGGGGTTATCGGTTTTCTGGACATATTCGTGTTCCATCATGAGGGTGTTCTCGGGTTAGCTACAGAAGGATGGCTTACTGCGCACGAGAAGGCCGCACGGTCTGTGGCGTGTTGGCGATACTTATGTTTGCTCCCTGTTTTATTCGCTATTCCTTTTCATTACGCTTCGTTCTTGACAAAAGTGGATGAT